GTCGTGCTTGATGTTATTATGCTAGCGTTCGCCCGTGTGTATCAAGGGATTTCCTATATGATACAACACATATTACTAGTATACAAGGAATATATCATGTTTTTGGAGGCTCCATACGGATGTCCACCGCTGCCGCCGCCGACGGGTGCGACGAGCTCGGGGTTTACGACGGTGGCGACACTCGATAGCAGTGCTCAAGTGACAGCACTGATATGTCCAGTCAATGTCATGAATTTTCTGTATTTAACGAGATTTATTGTACATTTTTACAACTACATATAAGCAAGAGGTTGTGCTCGTCGTCGGCGACGACGATGACGGGTCGGTGGACAACGACAGAGAGGCGGGATGCGCCGACGAAGCGCCGCGGCAGTGACGTGGGCAGCGTCTTAGGGGTCTATTACCAGACCCTTACCGGAGTCGGCCCGGAAGCGGGCAGCAGCACAGTCGAAGGGACAGCGGAGACGGGGTGTTGGGCGACGAGGCAGGGGTTATTATACGTGCTGGACAGTGCCACGTACAGCAGATACACGGTACTCTCGCTCGTATGTTAGAGAGTACAGGTGGGGTAGGATTCCGTAGGAAACAGATGGGGCATTAACGTGGGGTGGGCAAATAAGGTTTCCGAGCCTAACTAGGCTCGCGACTCCGTCTACAGTCGCAAGCCTAGTTAGGCTTGTTTCTGTCGTCACCCGGGTGCGTGGTTTTGGTGAACTTGCAAGTTTTGCGCGGGGCAATCACCTTCCACTCGTGTACGTAATGCCGTGTATGCACTCGTGAGAACCGTGGTCCGGCAAGCGCCGACAAGCTGTGGCGATGTCCCAGACGAAGGTAAAGCTTCTCTGAAAGTGTTTTGTCGTCAGGAGTAAAATCTAATATTCCTGGAAGTCAAGCACTATGATAAGGAAACAGAACATGAGACGTACGTCCATGACTACCCCAAAATACGCGAGTGATTATCGACTGACGCTGTTTCATGGCGGTTAAAGTAAAGTAACGTCGAATGTGATCGCTAGAAGAAAGGTCGGGTGGAGAAAAGAGCGGAACGTCTTCATTTATGTAGGACCGTCGTGGATGGTATATACGCCCAGGCGAGGCAGTAGCGACATCCCTTAAGGTATCCTGACGTATCTGTACAGTGAAGAATCCGGCGCTGTCGGAGGTCAGGAGAAGGTTTGGCTCTGACAGCCGCATAGATGGTTAGGACGCAAGATAGAGCAGGGTCAGCATTAACGTACCACTAATGAGCCACAGCCAAGGCCAAGTTAAATGAACTTGTATTGAAGGAGATCTGATACCTCCACGTACGGAACGGAAGACTTCACTTAAATCTGCAGAATACTGGTCATCTAGTGCCTAGTATTCATCCATCTAGCTTAAGGTCCCGCACAGTAATTTAGGGCAATGAGTAGCATTGTTGACCGGACGTACCCAGAATCTAGATCCAAGGCAGTTGTGCCACCTACCGTATCAAATATGCGTGGCAAGGGGTGCTGTATGCATAGTCCTGTGCTATATCTGTCCTCAGAGGGCAACAACGGCAGGTTTTATGACGCTTGCAGCGTAGCGGTACTTTTATGCCCTCACTAGCTCTGAGAATCACGCATGCTGAAGTTGTTGAAGGATTGCATTCAGGCTTACCTCTCGAGATCTCTCCTGCCCTCGGTGCCATCGGTATGTATCCATGTCTAACGCGCACAAAGAAGTTCTGGAAGTGTGCATACCTTTCCTGCTGATATCCGTCCATGTCCAAGTTATAGACTTGCATACATACGCTTCCAGGCCCATAATTTCGAGCCATTCACGAGTAAAACCATTCATCTTCGTTTGAAAGCATCACGGAAGAAAAACTCGGTGTCCCGCATCGTTCCTGTCGTTACTGCAGCTTAAACTGCAATGCCCGGGTAAGTGGGAGGCCAGTGGAAAGGCGGCGGGCGTGCAAGGAGGACGCGACGCGTCGCGTCCAGAATTTCAGTCACGTGTTTTGGGCGCCGCTACAGTCAAACTACTAGTAGCGTTGTGGTCCTGGATTCACTGGCGCTCACTTAGAAGTTAATGAACTGGTTCATCTTTACTTGAAATCATTCAGTCCAGCGTTCGCGGTGATAAACGATGTTAAGCAAGGATTGGCTGGTACGTCTGCAAAGAACTCTGTTTTGTTCCAGGTATACTTTCACAATTTATCCAACCAGTTATAGGTAGATGTGACTTGACACTATTATTGAGGTTCTCGAGTTCCTGCCAAAGGCGGCGACGTCGTGCCGATAGGGAAGATGACAGCCCGGTATGGACGGCCGGCCTACCTCCGCATCAAATGGAGACGCGGGAGAAACCCAAACACTGCCTACGAGCTTTGGAGGCCCGGCTCTGGCACGACAAATTTGATACAGAAAAGAATCATAGTTGTTGCCAGGAGGCTTGTCCCGGACATCCTGGCAGTTCATCATTCATGATTCTACGTCATGGTTGCCTGTACTTTCTACGCCCTCTGTTCAAGCACCGATTAACCTTACCGAGAAGGCGACGAATATCTGGGTAGTAAGCAGTCCAAGAGCTTACATCTCACTACAAAGGCAGGACGGCCCAGTGCGAATGCCACAAAATGAATGCGTGACGAAAGCCTACGACGCATCACTCTTTTCATAAGAGCCGCTCTTACATGGTTCGGTCTCGCGTAATCCTCTGTTTGAAAGGAAGGCTTCTCGCCGATATCATTACCTATCCTTCCTTTGCAGTTGGTGGATGCCAGTCCTTCTCTTGGGTCGTAAGTTCGGCCACCGCATCCCTCGTAACTGAGCCAATCCCACGTACTCGGGCATCTGAAGCAGCGCTGAAGCAACAGCTATATCCCTCGTAAGTATAGGAACAGCGTGTTCCTATAGCCTCCCGTATGAGAAGGCACAATAGCGCTATCCGCCGTCATACACCGTAGTGGAGGCCTCCGCGCATGCGGGATGTAGCTGGATCGTTGTACGACCTACACTCTATCGGACAAAGACTAAAATGCAAGTTCCATTTGCTAATAAGTCGCTCTGACTCGCTCATTACCTACTTAGGCGCGTACAGTAGTCCGAGTGTAATTCAGGTTTCCGTGACTTCGGACGATATAGAGGTGATAAAAATACCGCGAGGACTTCGGTGGCTGACCGTGGAATCGTTTTAGAGACTCAAGTTTGGCTCTCCACCGGCTTAGCGGACTCCTGCTGAGCGCGTAAAGCAGCCATCATCGGAAGCTCGAACGTGGATACGCACATGTAAGGTCTTTCACATATCCGTTCGGAAGTGGTCAGTGTTAAATGGACCCCCTATGCCCTCACACTGATTTCCACGGTGGTCTCACGACCCTTCGGTGAATGTTTACCCCCCGTCTGGCTCCCCACGTCCGTAAAACGAGTGGGATAAACCGACTCTCCTGCGTGTCCCTTTTCTAGAGAGAAGTTTCCGCTTCCGACACTCGCACGAATCGTCGCACCTCAGCCAGGTGTCGATATCTACCGAGGAAGGCCAAGGACCTCGCATATGGCAATCGCGGGTCCCTCTTTAGAATATCCCCACCGCTTCGCCCACGGACACAGTTGTCAATGGAAACTGCGCGGAGTGCAATCTTCGCGATGCCAAACCCTAACGCAGCTCTCGCCATATAAGATCGAAGCACTGTCCCTCACATCCCAGAGGACAATTATAACTGCTGGAGGGCACTCCCTACTCCACTCCTTCCCGACCACGCAAATGTCGGTTAATCTCGATCTAGGAGATACATATGGTGTAGTACTGAAGGGGGCGATAGTCGTCTATGGGTACCCCTTGTGTCCGAGTTGCCTGATGTTCTCGCTGATCTCACTTCTTAGACTCTACGGCGTCACTTGCGCACAAATGATACGCTATTACACAACGTACCGTAATGATGCACCCACAATAAAGTGGCTTGTGAGTGACATCGTCCCTTCTGCACCGGCTCCAGCATTCACGTCTGCCAGGTTGCAGTGACCTGGCTGGTACGCACACTGTGTCTGTGCTAAGATTGTGTCGGCACTTGATGCGATTTGCCTTCCAGGTTGGAACCTCCCAGCTTTGCTTAATCACTCATGTTCTGTGGTATTATCTCATCGCGCGATGTAATGGGGATCCAAACGGTTACAATTCTGCCAATTGGTGCGCACATTGAAGCTCTTTCCTTAGCATACTTGACACAGGTTCAACGATCTAGGAGTCTCGTCGTGAGTATCCTTTTTGTCTGATGTCGGGGTGATCATTATTACTGAAGTTTGTACCGCGCAGGGTGAAACCATCCCATCGGTATCATTGTTAAAAGCAGCTGCCAAATATTTGACTAAATCCGGAACTGTAGGAGATCGTCTTTATTCTGGTACAATGGTGCGCTCTAGGGCTATCGTCGCGACTGCTTAAGCTGAGACATGCGTCCCCCGGACACGACCCAGTTTCTTCATAGTAAAAATCCGAAAGCGTATGGGGTCCACTCTAGCTGCAACAGCGGTTAACTGATAACGCATTTAACGTACAGTGTCTAGAAGCAGACTAGCGTATTTGTTGGTACGTGTTCGCGGTGTCCGCGGTATGAGACGACATTGACCAACTTACGCAGCTTGTGCCTGCGATAACAGGATTAGGTTTGTGATGACATTATGAGGCTTATTTCCAACCCTCACATAATTGGGGCGATTCTTTCAACCTCAGTTTCTGCGACTGGTAGGTCTCTGAGTTGTTCTGGCTGGCAAGGGCCATGGTAATCCCTAGGCCTTTTCTTGATGTAGGGTACATTGCCGAATGGTAGGCCACCTGCTTCCATAACTGTCTGAAGACGTATAGTAGAGCATGATGCCGCAGGTACACAGCACCCTCTCTAGAGATTGCGCCACGGCAATTCCGGCTTGAAGCGGTGAGTTCCGAAACCCTGGCCGCCGTGGATGTTCGGACACTGGGATTCATGTTGACTGTCTCTGGCGAATAGTGGCTGGTGGCCCTGGCGTCCAGCTCCTACGCTTTCACGGACCTCCTGATCGCTGTGACGATGTGCTATTTTCTGTACAAGCAGCGGCAACAAGGATTCCATGCTTCCAAGTGCGTATCATTTCCCTGTTCACGAGCGCGGAGCGGGTGCTGACAAAATATGCAGGTCCTTAATAAATCTTATCATCAGGTACACCATTAGCACGGGCCTAGTCTCAAGGTAGGTATTCGCGATATTGCTGTGGGTGACTACTCAGGTTATGGATTCAACTTCAGCGTCGTGGCCTGCGTGTACCTTTCCCTTGTACGTGCCCTTGTCCTACATTTTGGTTCGCCCGCTGATACTCAGGCGATCCAGTACGTCATATACGCCAAGAGTGGTAGCATGCTCAACGTCGGCGTCTACATCGTCCATGCCCAGGGTGAGCGCCTGACGAATGACTCCCATGACGCTGCTAACGACCCTTTAGTCTATCTGAACTCCATGTTAACATCGTGAGTGCTTGGTAAAATGGACGTCAGGGGTCATCGATTAACCGTCACACTACGGCTAGGTTGAACAGCCGACGAGCATTGCGAGCCCGCCTCGAACATGCGCTTGCACAGGCCTAAATGTCGGATGGCCTCATTTATTTTCGCGCTATGTGGTCGGGTCGAGGAACGCAATTTGTACTATACCCATATACCCTCAGGGCTTCCGCGTAATTTACCACCAGGGCTGCAACTGATTCGAAGGCTCGGACACAGCTAATCACCCTCCGACCCCTCAGGCTATGGTTAGTCTTGGTTATTCTTAGTCTACCGACGAGAGCCCCAGTCTTCGAAGTGCCTGCCATATTCTCATCAGAACGCCAGGGACTGGGCCACCGGCTCCGAACATCCATAGTCTGACCATCGACCGTCGGCGACGAATGTGAATCTGTAGTCAGCCTGAACGCAGATCCCGCAACCGTGTTACCACAGCATAAATCATTCTACAAGGGACATTAGATATACAACCGGAGGAGTCGTCTTAGAGCTCGCGAGTGCCATTACAGAGGACCTCCACACGTCCCACTACCCGCAAAATTAAAAGAGGCATTCTTGAAATGCCCATACTCCCAATTATAACAATCCTACGCGGCATCAAAGTCAGAAACACGTCAATCACATGCCAAACGGGAATACCCACCACGCAGTCCTCTTCCTCGCTGAATTCGGGCACCTCCCGGCCGCCTGTCCCATTCACAGGCGGTTCCCAGTCTTCTGCGAGCAATCGCTCGACGATGACTGCGATGCCGTGGGTGCGGATGTCGACCGCCCAGCCGAGCTTGGTCACCGTGTCGTATTTCCGGACCTTGCCCAGGTGGCAGCTGGGAGAGGATTAGAAAGATGGTGGATAAAGAGAAGGTGAACCAAACTGCTTACCGAGTCTCCATAGCGTAGCCTGCTATGGCGCATGGCGAGGTTACGCCGTTACACGTCCCCATGGGGAAGGGGTCGGCCGTGTGATACACATGGGTGATATGTTGTGTCGAGGGCTGAAAGAGGCGTTACTCTGGGTTGAGCAAAGTTCAGAGTGGTAGACACTTACTGGCGAAGGCAGGTGCAGCCGCTTGGCTGCGAGCTTCTCCCCGGGGGCTTCGAACGTAACCACCGGGACACCAAATGTCACCCCGAGTAGAGACGCAAGGGAACCTCCTAAGGAGTGTCCTACAACAATACAATGAACATCCGTGGTCGGAGCCTTGTAAGAATGCTCACCGATTATCCAGATATTGGCGTCAGGATACATGTATGTTACATTATTATACAGGTTCTGCCGAGCGGGATGGTCAAATGTAATACCCGGTCAGCTAGAACTCTGACTTACAGTTCCGATAGGGTAAAACAGACTTTCTTGCGTCAAACTCTTCTCTACACAATCCTGATCGCACTTGTTCCCTCCTCCAGAATAACAATCGCAAACAGGTGTCCATGTCGGGCCGACTCTGGCACAGCAGCACGAGAACAGGAGATTATCATTCAATTTGTCCTTGCGGACGGTCGGACCTCCTCCACCTACGATCCAACCGGCTGACGTGCCCTTGACGGAGATGATAACAGTCGAATTGTCGGTAGAGACAAAGATATGACCTCTGAATCCATCAGAATCAGGTTCCCAACCAAAGGGATAGCTCTATATCAAGCCTTGAATCATATAACAGACTGTAATGGCCAGAAGTCCGGGAAATGCCTACCGAGTTCCAGTCCGGTCCAAGATCATACCAATTCTTTGCACCCGGCTCGGTATAAGCATTGTTCGTCATCTTAGCCAGCGTAAGGAGCGTCTCCCTCTTCTCCGTATCAGGCCCTTCAACGTCGATCTCGTCCCAAGGAGGTAATTCAGTCCGCAGATGTCTCATGGAGTTGATCCGGGCATTCTGGAAGGCTATCTGGGATGCCGGACGGTGCGTCGTCAGACGCTTTGTCTTGACACCGAATGACTGCGCGAGTAGAGATTGAGGAATATCTGAAAATACGTTCCTAGTGCCATTCGCTACTCCGTGCGCATGTCGCAGCTGGAATGTCATAGATGCTGGTTCCGCAGTTGGCACGGGTGTCCATGCAATTGTCGAGAGCAAAAGGCGGAGAGCACTTGGCAGCAACTGTAGCATATCATGCACTAGGATGAGGAACAAAGACAAGAAACGCAGAGTAAGGGATACCCGATACGAGATCCACGATTGAGGATTAACGAGAGGACCTGCTGTGGCGTCTGCGGATGTGAAATACACGTGCAAAGTTGATTCACTCGTAGCACGGCGAAGCGGGGTAGTAAGGTTAGGGTTCGGATACTTTGATAGCAATTACATATAATTTGTCTACGCTACCACTTTGTAAAGAGACGAAAATCATCACAGATAAGCACTATATAACGCCGCAGTAAGCTTTCTAGCTTGACCCCTCCCCAGGACGCCTTCGCCAGTTTTTACCGGAGGCTTATGGTCGGATAGCAGATGCTCCACTTCCGACTTGCTCTGGGCGCTGTTGGACTTCTTGGGAGTCGGCTTGTGCGGGGGAGCAGTGGGAAGGTGAAGTGGCTCAATTTCAGGCGTCCGCTGGGGCATGGGATCCGTCGCGTGCGTCTCTCTGACCTTCCGAGCCTTGCGCGGCGACACACCGCCGAGAGTGGATCTCCGGCGCTCCCGCTTTCGCGCCTCTTCTTCGCGCCCCTCCTTGACTAGGCGGGCGTATTCGCTGGCCCGAGAGATCCGCGGAGGGCGGTATTCTTCGCGGCTTCCACTAGCCGGAGACCAGCGAAGTACTGACGACCGACCATGAGACACGGAAGGTCGGCCACGAGGAGTGACGTGCTCCTCAGCCTCACTTCCTTCAGCTTCTTCATCGCCGGGTTCAGCATCATGGATGTTCTCTGATTCACCGGTGGAGGAGGTGTCAGATGTCCCAGCGCCGAGTTCCTCCAATATCGCGAGGGCGTTCTGCTCGGCCGCCTCTCGCATCCCCTTCAGTATCATGTCCGTCTTCTGGAAGTCTTTAACCTTGTCGAAGATGCCATACACGATTTCTTTGAGGAAACCATGATTCTTGGACATGGTATCCAAGAGGTACTCGGTACCGAGTTCCATCGCAAGCCGCCGGTCACCCGGTCGCGCGGGGGATGGCTGCGGAGGCGTTGGAGGGAGCTCTACCGTCGTGGCGATGGATGGGCGCGCAGGGACACGAGCCGCACGACCTGGCATCGAATGACGTATTCGCGGCGGCTCACGATACCCCACAGGAGCGTCATGGGTAAAGCCTGCGAAGGTCTTCCGTCGCTCTTTCGCAGCACGGGTATCATCTCCATCGTCTCTGCCTGAAGTAACACCTATTTGGGTAAAAGGAGATGATGCTTCCTCCGGTTCTCGTACCGGATGTCTGTCAGGAGAGATGTGGCCTGAACCGTGGAATCGTGCTTTGCTGAGATCATCGGTGGTCCAGGAGGTGCCATCCCGCCCCCGCTCTGCATCGCTGCCCTCTCCTGAATTTGTTCGCGGAACAGACCGTCTCGAGGAACCCGCGACCGCACCCGCCGAAGAAACACATGGGGCCTGTTCACCGAGCGAGGTCAAAAACCGGTTGACGACGCTCTTACGAGCGTCACGCCTTGACGAAGACGCGGCAGCATTCCCCCGAGCACGACCCGCGTAATGATCTTCATCAACCTGACTGGGCTGGGTGAACGCGTGATGTACCGGGGCTTGAACGGCCCCCAAGGCGGAAGCGAGGATCTGCTCCACGTAGGCCCGAGCGCGCGCAGCTCGCCTCGGCCTGACTTCCCCTTCCTCGTCCTCGGGGATAACCTGGCTGAACGGGTGATGGTGTTCCGCCGGAATGTCGACGGCGCGTGCCTTCCCCTTGCCCTTATCCACCCGCCTAAATTGCACATCTTCTTGTTCCGGTCCCACTTGCGTGAAGGGGTGATGGGGCCTCTCATCAACGTCATGCGCTCTGCCTTTGCCCTTGTCCGCCCGAGTGGGCTCCCTGTACCTGAACGACGCGCCCCTCTTCGGAGGCCAATTATCGTCCTGCTTCGGCGTCGGCGTGAGCACGATATACCCATCGATCTCCTCGGATTCCTGCTCAGACTCGTCCACACCACTCGCGCGTCGACCGCTGGGAGTGAACGGAGCCCGCCCCCTGCGGTTCGTGAACGCGAGCGAGTAAGGCCCCTCAACGAGGCGCGGCGCCTGTCTCTTCAGCCTGGGAACAGCCGGCGTCGGAGGTAAAGAAGTGAACATGTTCTCCTCGTCGTCTTCGTCGGAGTCGCTCTCCGAAAGCACCAGTAATGGCGGTGTACGGCTGCGTGTGCGTCTCCGTCTGAGAGGGCGGGCTGCGTAGCGGGCTCTCGGGGTGCTAGCGGCGGTTTCGTTAGTGCCAGCCAGTCGACGGGCCTGGGTATTGAGCAGACTAGGCGTGAATGGTGGGGACGAATCAGGCCCGGATAGGGGAGGGGTCGGCTCCTGCCGTACGCCTGAAGCCTGAAATACAGGTCCTGACGGCGGAGGTTGCTGGGAAGCAGGTTCATCTTTGGGAACGACTGGCGGCACATGCTGTGATAAGGTTTCGTCCTTGGGCTGGGTAAATGTTCCGGGCATAACGCTGCCGGGTGGTTTAACAGGGGAACCTAGGCTGGGCGAGGGTGCAGATGCGATGTCAGGGTAGATATTCTGATACGGCGGGGGAGTACTTGGTTGATCCGTTAAAGACTGCGATGCGGATCTGTCCTCGCGTGGGCGTGATACTGGTTGGTACGGAGGGACTTGCTGTGACATTGGCTCGATTTTAGGCCCTGTAACTAGCAATGGTCAGAAGGATAATGTTATCATTGTGGCATGGAATACATACCATCCAGTGCAGATGAGTCGGGCAGAGGTTCGCCCTGGGGCTGAGACTGGGGCGTGGATTCCCTTTGGGCGGGAGTGCTAATAATGCTAGGCACGAAGGACGAAAGGACGGAATGGATTATTAGATCTCACCTGTCGAGTTCATCGAGTTCAAGGCTCTCCGCTTCCTCGCTATCGGCTGATTGAGAGATGTTCTGCGTCAGCTGGACTGTCACATCGGCCTCTTCCGCACTTGTCTCTGACTCGTCAGAGTCGGAAGGTTTGTCGAAAATACCGCCAGAGTAGTCGTCCGAGGGCGCGGGAGCAATGACCTCCATAAGAGTTTCATCGGGCTTATCCTGACCTTCTGAGTGTTCTGGAGGTTCAGAAACGGCGGCAATCTCGGATTCATGATTAACTGGCTGCTCTGAAGGGGGTTGAGATGACGATTTGGCCGCCACAGGTGCCATATTCGACGTGGAGGCGATGGCCGTCTGAGACAGAACTTGATCTGGCCCGTCATTGTTGTCGTCGTGCGGTAATGGAATAGCTTCCACTTCCCGTTCTTTCCCTTTATCTGCTCGTCGTACCTTGTTGTTCTGGGACGTACCGCTCGGGATTTCCTTCCTAGCGGTCTCATCATGAGTGCCTCCAGACGCCTCCCCTACAGCCACCTTCTTATCAACCTGCCGTCTCTTCTGAGCCCTCTCCACAGGCTCCTCCTCTTCCTCCTCGTCCTGAGTCCTTCGTGGCCGCTTGCTTCTTGCTTGCGCAGGTCTTTCTTCCTCTTCCTCGCTGATGTCTCGGATGATCAGTTTCTTCTTATCTGACTGCTTGATCTTGTTCTTCTTCTGGTAGGTCTTGATGTATCTGTCGAAGTCGTCCTGGTTCTTCCTGTAATGTTCCCTCCACGATTGCCAGGTATGACGTTTCGCCCATGGCCATTTGTCCGTCTTGTATCCCGTCGATCCAGGTACATAAATTAATGTCAAGGCACTCACATTGTTTACAAGATTCTGGTAGAGTTTGTTGCCAGTTCTGTTGTTGACGCCTGGGTTCTCGACCGCGATATATTGCACAAGATTCCTGGAGTCCGCGGTGGTGAATTCGACGCGCCTAGCCTGATATTAGTCCCAATGTCGCTATAAAAGTAGCCAAATATGAGATACGCACGGCGTCGTTCGTCTTACCATCGCGTCGGTTGGGCTATGGGGTGGAAGCGTCGTTTCAGTGGCAAATCACGTGGATGCGCGTTCGCGCCAGTGACGTGACTTTACGTGACCACGCACATGCCGCATAAGGATAGAGACTAGAGCACACCCGACATATGCCAATCTGTGAAATGCGACATATCCCATATAAAAGCCCTTTGGCGTTTTTGAGGCATCCATCTCTCCTTTTCCCCCAACCATTACCACCGCCCTGTGCTTCGTCTGTTTCCCTTATGTATACGGACTTGGGCGGTAATCCGATCTCTAGGCTTCCCCGCGACCCTCGGAAGCTCGCGTCCGGACAACAGAGGCTCAGCATTGCACTGTCCGACTTGGCGGGAGGCTCGAGCCGTCGCATACAAGTCGGTCAATCGGCCTACCGATATGCAGGATTCGCCTCAATCGGCAGCGAGTACTTACGTCACGGTCATATGGGAAGAAGCGTCTCCTGGTCAGCTGTCTGGTCAGAAATGATCCAATTTCGTGTCGTGCCTGTAACAGCGAACCGTATAAAATGCCTCGTCGTGGTACAACAAGAGACAGAGGTATAGCCCACCATGCGTGCCAGAGCTGCTCTGTGGCTCGCTCTGTGTACCGCGTTTGCTGCGGCGGAGTATGTCGACCCGCAGGTCCTGGATGCTTGCCCTGGCTACACAGCCGAAAACGTCGCAATCAACGGGTCGACTCTGACTGCCGACCTGGTGCTCGCGGGTACTCCTAGCAACGTTTTCGGGAACGACATCGAGAAACTTGCTTTGGAAGTGGTGTACGAGACCGGCATGTTATCCTGCGCTCACCCCAAGTATGAGCTTACCCTGTTCTACAGAAACGCGCATCCACGTGAAGATTACTGACCCATCGACTGCCCGGTATGAAGTCCCCGAAACCGTTCTGCCGCGTCCCCCAGCTTCAGGCACTGTCTCTCCCGACTCTGCCGCCATCCGGTTCAATTATACGTCCTCACCTTTCTCGTTTTCCATATACCGGACGAGCACCTCCGAGGTCCTCTTCTCGACCGCGTCGCACCCGATCATCTTTGAGCCACAATATTTACGCGTGAAGACAGACCTGCCTGCTAACGCGAATATCTACGGACTGGGGGAGCACACGGACAGCTTCCGCCTGCCTACGCACAACCACACGCGGACATTCTGGTCGCGAGACGCGTATGGCGTTCCCAACGGGACGAATCTCTACGGAAACCACCCGATCTACTTTGAGCATCGGAAAACGGGGACGCACGGCGTGTTCTTTTTGAATTCGAACGGAATGGATATCAAGATCAACGATACTGAGACTGGGGACGGGACGACGCTCGAGTATAACACCATCGGAGGCATCTTGGACTTCTACTTCCTGGCGGGAAGCGAGACGGACCCGACTGAGGTTGCGAGACAGTACGCCCAGGTGGTCGGAACACCGGCTGAGGTCCCGTATTGGTCCTTTGGATTCCACAACTGTCGCTTCGGGTACACCGGTGTGTAGGCTAGCTACTCAACAGTACTCGAGGAGGGATTGTTAACGCTTGGAGAAAGACTTCGTCCAGGTAGCCGAGGCTATCACTAACTACTCTGACGCTGGCATTCCGCTTGAGACTATGTGGACTGATATCGGTGGGTAGAATTTTCTTTACAACCTCAGGCGGACCCAATTATACACCCCCTACAGACTACATGTACAAGCGGCGGATATTTACAACCGATCCAGACTACTTCCCAATCCCCCGGATGCGCGAAATCGTCGACTATCTGCACTCCCATGATCAGCATTACAGTATGTCTTCGCAGCCTCTTTTCCATCAATTTTCATTGATCTTGCCATCCTAATAGTACTTATGACGGATCCGGCCGTAGCGTACGCTCCGGGTGAAGGTTATGGGGCCTTCGATCGCGGAACGGAGTTGGACATCTGGTTGAAGGCGCCGAATGGTACTAGCCCGCATTTGGGCCTCGTTTGGCCTGGTGTTACGGTCTATCCAGGTAGGTTGATGGCAGCGTATGGTGGTTTGCACTAACGCGAGTGATTATATAGACTGGTTCAACCCGGACACGCAGGCGTAAGTCACTTAAATCATTCTCATAATACATAAATTCTGAACACACCACTAATCAGATACTGGACGAATGAGTTTGCACTTTTCTATAGTCCTGAGACAGGCATTGATATCGACGGCGCCTGGATTGACATGAACGAGCCTTCCAGTGTAAGCTCTCTTCTTGAAAGACAGACCGGAATCACCAGTTAACGTGACCTGTCAGTTCTGCGTGTACCCGTGTACCGACCCCTTTGCTCAAGCGATAGAACAAAACCTCCCGCCGAACCGGACGACGCTTCCACCCGCCCCTGACGCTCCCATTTCCCACGACAACTCCACCGCGAACTCGACCGGTACGGTCCTGAAGCGGCAAGCACTCACTGATGACGAGATGCTGAATCCTCCATACGCTATTGATAATGCTGCCGGGGGCTTGTCGAACAAGACCGCGCATGTGAGTCGCAGGTCAGCCGATAGGTTTCAACGGTGCTGATGACAAAACTTTAGTCGGACACTTTGCATGCGAACGGGCTGGTTGAATATAACACTCGTCAGTAGCCTGACTATCTGGTCTGCAGACAGCTAATCCAGGCGGTTAATAGACAACTTGTACGGGACTATGATGTCGGTGGCGACGCGGGAAGCTATGCTGGCGCGCCGCCCTGGTCTGCGCACTCTGATCATTACGCGGTCGACGTTCGCCGGTGCTGGTGCGCACGTCGGGAAGTGGTTGGGCGATAATTTCGCGGACTGGGATCATTATAGGAATTCCATCTCAGGTATGGGGTCGATAGATCAAACTAGGCGAACTCTCTTTCATTCCGCGTGCAATAGGTGTTCTTGGCTTCGCTAGCGTGTATCAAGTGCCGATGGTTGGAGCGGATATTTGCGGTTTTGGTGGGTGCATCGGATGAACCGGGATATTAGCTGACCTGGATCCAATACTCTTAGCTCAGAACACTACCGAAACATTATGTGCGCGATGGGCCATGCTGGGTGCCTTCTACCCTTTCATGCGAGATGTCAGTAAAATTCAGTCGCATGAATGTACTGACCCAACGAGAGCTGACGGCTTTGGGATAGCATAATGATGACACGTCCATCCCGCAAGAATTCTACAGGTGGCCGACGGTAGCAGAGGCCGCAAGAAATGTCATTGACATACGGTAAGTGATCGAAGATTTTGCTCGCAGCACAGAAGCCAATTTCAACGTGAATAGTTATCGCTTGCTGGACTACATCTACACCGCCATGCACAAAGCCAGCCTCGACGGTACTCCAATCGTTAATCCTCTTTGGTACAAGTACCCACGAGACGAGAACACCTACGGTATTGACTTGCAATTTCTCTATGGTGACTCCATCCTGGTCGCGCCCGTCACTGAGGAGAACTCGACTACCGTCGATGTCTACCTACCCAAGGATACCTTCTACGACTGGTATACCCTCGCGCCAATGCACGGAGAGGGCAGCAACGTGACGCTCACCAATGTCAACTTCACCTCTATACCGCTCTACATCCGTGGCGGCGCGATCCTGCCTCTGCGTGTCAGCGGCGCGATGACTACCACCGCGCTTCGACAGACTCCGTTCGAACTTGTCATTGCTCCGGGTATTGACGGCTGCGCCTCTGGTTCTCTCTACTTGGACGACGGCGTCTCGATCACTCCGGCTACCTACACTTCGATCGATATCTCGTACAAGAAGGGCCAATTGACGGTCGGAGGCCATTTTGGTTACCTGTCTGACTTGCGACTGGCCAGGGTGCGTTTGCTAGGTGCTCCGCATGCCTTCAGCGTTCCGCAGGTGCAGTGGAGCAATGGGACTAGCGCGGTGAATGTCACCTATGACTCCGACAACAAAGTGTTGGATCTCACGATGGACTTGCCCCTTAGTGGCAATTTCTCTGTTCAGCTTTCGTAGACCCAGATGTCAATGTAGCTGGACGGTTAAATTCAAGCATCGAATTTTGGGGTTCGTGACCCGCATGGCAGCTCGCCCTCGCTTCGCGCGTGAGGGTCAGGTCTATATGTTCAGCCGTAATATATGATCGGTACCTGATACGGATGTTCGAAGAGTGTTCCAGCTGAGCCTGAGGCTGCTTTGAAGTTCCCTTCAACAAGGTGGTATGCTCAAGTCGAAACCTGGCAGTGGGGATTGTGAATTGGCCACCAGTGTGAATGGGTGTGTCGGGTGAGCGTCTCTCTCAAAGCCTACGAGTTACGTGTACGTCCGTGGAAAGCGGTGCGAGCATTACTCGGGAGATCACCCAAGGGCGCTCTCGAGTCGCCCAGAAACGACCAGTGGTAACCGGTAAGTACTTCCGTAACGATGGGCTATCGCATATTCCTGAAAACCGCCCCCTACGCTACACAGAATCTCACCAGCCCCGGGTGTCTGTGGCTTGGGTTCAAGCTACGGATGTCAATATCCTGCAGGCTATCCCGGTTTTCGGGCATACAAGGGACCACACTAGGTCGGTGCCTCCATTCTATCAGAACATGGTGTTCTAAATGCCCCCGGGACAGCGATGGGCTCTTGATGGTGACACACATGCTCCAGAATAGCTAGGCGCTCGCGCGGGCAAATAGCGTATAAGAAGATGTGAACATATGCCTGCAATTCTGCCTCGCTTACTGTGGCCATGAAGTTCCCCCTTCTCGTTGCAGCTGTCAGCCTCTTGGCGGGGCATTTGGCCCGAGCAGCCACCGTACCCAAGCGCCAGTCCACGAACAAGCGCGGGCTATCATTCACTGACGTCAGTCAGACCACCCCCTTCGGAAACAGGTGAGACAGGAGTTCGCCATGGAGTTATGGTGTCCCAGCACTGACTCACACTGTTCTCAGTATCTCTTGGGTATTCAACTGGGCTCCCCAGATGAGTGGTACCCTGACACCTGGTGTTGAATACGTGCCCATGCTATGGGGGACTTCCGACTTTGCTTCATGGAATGCCAGTGCGAAAGCCGCCATTGAGGGCGGGTCCGTCCATCTGTTAGGGTACGTGAAATCAAGCGTTCATTATTTCTTCGGCCCTCACTATTCCCAAGCTTCAACGAACCAGATCAGTCAGATCAAGCAAATATGAGCCCGATCTACGCCGCAGATGCCTGGAGACAGTACATGGAACCCTTCGCAGGTCAAGCTAAACTTGTTTCTCCGGCTATTCTCAATGGTCCTCAAGGAAAGGCGTGGATGGACCAGTTCTTCCAAGCGTGCTCAGATTGCACAGTGGATGCTGTTGCTCTCCACATCTACAACGTTGATGAAGCCGCCGACGTCGACTCCTACGAGGAGTCCGTCACCGCTATGTGTGAGTGAAATCACCGAGGTGAAGCATGCCACTGTAATGTTGACATAACTGGATCTGGAAGATAATACCTACAATAGGCCCGTATGGCTCACAGAATTTGCCGATACGGGCGAGTCGACGTCCGACCAGCAGACCTTCCTCACCCAGATCCAGCCATTCTTAGATGGTGCTGATTTTGTGGAGCGTTATGCCTACTTCAGTTTGGATGAAAGCAGCACCGGCGTTACCTCAATCTTTGTCAACCCTGACGGGACTCTCTCCGATCTGGGCCAGACATATGCGTCTGCTTGAGCCGGGTTGATGACCATCCGTTGGGAGGCTATGACAGCCATATATACACGCTGGATGTCAGGGCTGGCGAAATTTATTATTCCCAAATGTGCGTTGTACATCCATGACTGCTGGCCGTATAACAGGAGGCGTGCGCGAGTCGCTGTATCCTGGCGATGAAACTCTAAGCAGATGGAAAGCATGAGGAAGTCCGCAGCCATGACTCACGGCCATGGACTGCAGACCGACTCCGACTCAATGACAACTATAAATCTGGGACTTCAACATACTACATAATACATATGTTCACTGTCTCAACCGATACCTGGTAACTTGGTCAGACGCTATACATTCTTATTATGCTCCTCGGCGAGTGGAAATTACACTCTTCTCGTGGCCTTCCTCTGATTGCAATTAACTGGCGGGACCGCCGGAACAACTGCGGATTCAACATCAGGAATGTGTTCCTGGACTGCGGAGAACCCAAGCTACTGCATGTGGCGCGACCTGCGTTCCGACGACGGTGCTTGCTCTGCCTTCGTGCATCAAAGTTTGCCGCTCAGCTGTAGTAATCTCCTCTCGCGATTGTGATGCAGTTCCGACTTGGTTGATAGCTGTAAGCGCATTGGCGGTGTATCTGTATCTCCGGCCCTGGGATACTTACCTTTGCGGTCTGATCTTTGTCTTTCCTCGGCGGAGCTGTCATATTTATGGCTCCTTTGGCACAATATCTCTCGCCGGAACACCCGGCCGTCAACCTGCCCATGGAACTCAGGGACATTGACACGCTTGCAGGTCCAGAGTACATAAGGCAGATATGAACAACCAACGTACTCCCGTTCGTCGTTCATCTCTGCTTTGCTTTGCTTTTCCCTGCCTGCCCGTCTTCTCGTGCTTTGCGCTTTATATCAACCCATTCGCTCGTTTGTCCAGCCCAGGACGCCACATTCGCTTTCCTCGCTGTCTTTGAAGTTATTATTGCTGCTATGAAGTTCACGCTCTACGCTACTGCTCTCTCTGTCCTGGCGGCTGGTTCCGCCTTTGCTGCACCTACGTGCAAACGCGCATCTACGACCAAACGCGGCTTGGGATTCAACGATGTTACCGCGACAACATCCTTCGGGAACAGGTGAGACACGCTGACCTGATGTCCCCCACCTACTATGTAGCTCATACTGTGCTGCTTGCAGCGTCTCGTGGGCGTATAATTGGGATTCCCAGAAGAGCGGCAATCTGCCTTCGGGCGTGGAGTATGTGCCCATGCTGTGGGGAACCTCGAGCGACCACACCACCAACTGGAACGCGAATGCAAATGCCGCCATCGCTGCAGGGTCTACTCACCTCCTCGGGTAACTATTGACGTTCTCCCAACTAATATGCGATGACCAACCGAAACACAGGTTCAACGAACCCGATCTCTCTTCTCAGTCGAATCTCAGCCCACAGGACGCCGCAGCCGCCTGGAAGCAGTACATGGAGCCCTTTGCTGGGAAGGCTAAACTCGTTTCCCCGGCTGTCACTAACGGCGCTGCGCCGATGGGCTTAGCGTGGATGGACGAGTTCATGGCGGCGTGCACGGGCTGCACGATCGACGCTGTTGCCATCCATATCTACGACGCTGCGTCGAACGTGGCGTACTTCCAGAACTACATCAGCAGTGTCGGTGAGTCATGTTTGCCACGTCGTCCTGTAAATTGTCGTAACAGGTATCTAAACACATTGGCTTGGCTGTGTAGGCACCAAGTACAACAAGCCCGTGTGGGTGACCGAGTTCGGCGCGTCGGGCGCGACTGCGGACCAGCAGACGTTCCTGACTACCATGGAGCCATTCTTGGACAACCTCGCTTCGGTGGAGCGCTACGCGTACTTCGGCGACTTTGTTGGCACTTTTGTCAATTCCGACGGGAGCCTCTCAGCCCTGGGCAAGACGTACCAATCTGCTTGAATGCAGTGGAATAACAGCTTGTTGTTAAGGTTGGCAGATTGGGAACTCGGTAACGATAGGGCCCTACGCAGAGCGTAGTATTTTTATGTTTCCTGGGGCGTGCCCTGGATGATAAGTTACAGGTGATTGCCTATGAATTGGAGTGGGTATCTCTCTAGCAGAGACGGTGATTATAATACGGATATGGAACTTCGGTCAAGTTGATTTGAAATCCAATCTTTACCATATCTATTCTGCCCGACGTGATTTCCCCCTATCACCACTGGATCTTGTCAGGTGCTGGTCACGATTAATGAGCTATCGCTGTAGCCCGTCTGGCTGGGCTGCGGTGAGTGCCTCTTTTCCCGTCTAACGATTGCATTGGAGCTGTTGCCTGGTACGACATTTACTTATCGCGTGCTATGCTCGTTGAGCCACTATCATTGGCATATATTTGGTTGATATGGCTCATGCACAAGATGCCCTCATGGCCATGGATTGTATGGAACCGAGCATAGTGATGAGCCCTGCCCAACCCCGAGCCACTGGGTAGAACCATTGAGGATCGAGGATTGCAGCAGCTTGCGAACCATCCGCTGATATCCTCCGCTACTTGAAGGCGCAGTTTATCTCGGAAGACGACGCGGCTACTGAGGCTAGCTGAATAGTTGTTCACAGATGCTGGGCAGTAGGGAGATGCAGGCCCACGCTGCCAAAATGGCATTGACATAGATTTCAGATGTAGAAGACGACTGAGAAATCAGCGACTGGTAAGATTGCGAGGCCCTACCTTTGCCGTGAATAAAGTATATTCCAACCCAAATTGTCCTATATTCCAAATTGAGGGTTGCAACAAGCGCATCGCTTACAATGATAGTAGCCCAGTGGCGACGGTAACTTGATTAATAAGTCGACCAATTACCTGTAAGGAAGAAATCGTAGATAACTCGGTCAGCGCAGAGAGATTGAAGTACCTAAAAGTTGACAATCCAAGAAGTCTTGATCGCCGCAGAAGATAGCATATTGTGGTTGAAATAGCGAAGTCGGTAATACAGGAGGCAACAGCCGTCGCCGACACCATTCTCGAGGTATGCGCAGGTTAAGCAGACCTCTTCTGCAACGCGAGAGCGCAAAACGACCTCCGCGAAATGTAAGCCGACCCCGAACAGCGGAGAATCCGCATCCTGAAGACTGGCGTGACGTTTCAGAAGTGGAAATGTTAACTAACTTAAGACCTTCACCTCAGAATAACATAGGCTAAGGAATAATGATGACACTCGATGCTTCATTTCATTCCCAGATACTCAGCTCACCTGTCGTTATACCTGTCAAAGCCACGCCTAGTTAAACTTTACAATCATCTGCTTGAAAGACTCCTGAAATCCGTACCAAAAGCAGCCAATGCTGGTATCAGCTGCAGTGGGCATCATGGTGGCGTGTTTGATGAGCAGTAGCAAATAGAGTGGGAATAATAGTCTCAGCCGGCGCCATTGTGGTGAATGCGCATGCGTGACCCACACATCCATATCCTTCCTATGTAGAAGCTACCGAAGTCTGACGGATCTTCCATAAGTCCTGCATAGAAAAGAAGCTGAAGACGACGTACCATTCAATAATGAGAGCGGCCATCGCCTACGCTCGCGAATTAGCAGTGCGCGCTGTAGCTTACCGTGGGTAATGAAACTGATCACACAGCCCGGTTAGCCGACAATGGCAGAAAGAACAGAATACCGTACGGCCATGCTCCTGCAGCACGGTATTCAATACGGGAATCACGCTATTGGCAAAGCCATAGAATGGACCAATTCTCCGCTAGCAGAAATCACAGTACGTCCTGCCCTCGTGCGGCGCGGCTGGCGACTAGATAATGCCAGTGCATATAGGTCAGGATAAATTGGTTCGCGGAGTCGACCTGGGGCTAGCAAGTGGGTAGGGACCTCGTGCCGGTGGTACCGTGGACTCACGATCCACAGAAATCTCATCTGGAGTGCCCATGAGACGCAGGCCGTGCGCACGGATTCAAGTATCTGCTTACCAGGGTTTTCAAGAGTCTCATGTCTTTTCTGTAGGTCGAATAATATCATGCGGTCTGCAAGCAGCCAACTCCGTACAACCTGCGCCGCGCGTGAGTATATCTATTTTGTGTCGATGGGACACGCCGAAATGACATGTTGGAAAGCACTCCGCCGATGTAGAGGGGCTGGAGGAGCGCCGTGAGCAGCGAGGAGAGAGTGGATGCCATAAGGGCGCATGCGCTTTGGGAGCTGAGACAGCCCGTATATAGCTCGTTTTCTCTCAGCTGGGACAACACATTCACGCACAACTGAGACAATCAGCATTGCGATACAGGCGTTGCGAAACACCCGGGTCTACGCGCAAGCATTCGTTTGCATCATTTTGTCATGTTCTGACGCATATATGCAACAGCCGACGCGCCGCCCGGGTGCCTCTGTCCGTGGTCGGCAGTCGAGCGTCGACGGGTACTCCCTGCCGTATGTACATACTTCCGAAATCGTGAGAGCAAGGGTATGATACTAGACTGCCAGTGATGGGTCGCGGAACGACAGCGGCAGGGGAGGTGTCTCGAGCTGCGGGTGGAGGAAATCGATGGGGTGTCTGGAGACGTGGGATGATACACTCGAAACGTACAGTCGCGCACCGGACGCCAGAAGCATTCCGAACGGAAGTGGATCTATGAATATATATACCGGGGAGAAGGGATGAAGCGTATTGGAGCTGCGGGATCACCAGGCGCCAGATGCCATGCCCCCGTCGCGCCGGAGCGTACGCTTCCGGTGGTGCGTTGGGTTGCCTGCGGGATATGAGGGTGTCCTACCTCGATATTACGTATTCCCGGCCGCGCAGATTCGCCAGTATTATGCGCTCAGGTGGTCATCCCGGGCGGGAGGTCCAGCGTTGACCAACGGTTGGTGTCGGGAGTACATGGTCCTGGGAATGACAGGGGGTCCACTTATCCGTGCTGGTTTCGCGTGCGCAGCCCCGTCCCTGTATCGAGCCCGTTGCTCATCGATGAATCTCGGTCGCGACACCTTCACGAGTACGCAGTATGCCGGCCAACGAGGTGAGAAATTCGAGTACAACTCGCGCTCTACATTCTAACTCCGGATGCCCCAAGATTCAAGTTATGTCATGAGGGAGGCCATGGCCACATGACGGGTAGTACTGGCGGTGCTGATATCACAAGGCCGCCAGTATTACTCGTCGAAGTTGGCGGTCGAGAAATGACGAGGAGGTACAGCATTGGAGTAGAGAGTGGACAAGCTGCATCGTAGTGGCTTGCGCTGAGTGCCAGTGACCGTGAGGTTTTCGCTGGCCATGGAGGGTCCATCGTCGGCGAGCTCGATGTCGACGCCGATCCAACATCTCAAGGCTGGCCTCCCTGCTCTGCACAAGGTACGATATCATTATTGATAGGCAGCAGGGGATTCTCTGCATATGCGTCATCCCTGACAATCTTGAAGCCGAAAGCGAGAATTGTCAACTCAAACTCGCCGCCCGGTGGGGAGTCAGAAAGTTCCAGGATGCATGCATTCAATCGCCAACAGAGTTATTACATGAAAAGAAAATAGGGGTAAGTAGCCGTTACAAGACTAACAGTAACGCCGAGAGAAAAGCGGCAGTATAACAGTAAACAAACCGCCCTGGAATACACGACATAATCAATCAGAATCTGCTGCCAGTGCGTGACATCTTCGGTTCCCGTTCTTCGTCTGAGTCCAAGTCGGCGACTTGGCTGGCGGCGCGCTTGGATGTTAACTTCGAAGTCTTCGAGATGCCAAAAAAGTTGTACGTATATTGTGGCTCGACCTGATCAGGTATCTTGTCGTGATCAGGCCAGTCCCCGTCATCCAATTGCGCTTGAAAGATGGATGCTATTTGCTTATGATCATTCAAGTTGCTGGCAATTTTCGCGTGGGCTTCGTGCTTCTTCGCTTGCTCGACAACCTGAGGTGCTTTATTCGGCCGAAGTCGCGTCGGAAGCGTATATACTTTCTCTCGTGTTTTATCTCCTTGCTGAGATTTTGGCGTCCCAGCATTGGTAGGGCCATCCAGGAGATCTTCATGTACCCAGTAGTACCCTTGAAACCAGCCAAACAGAGTATTGATAATACTCTCAAGCGCGGGATTTCTGAACGTGAATTCCAGCTTGCCAACCATGAAGGTATGCGTCTTGAGCAATCCGCCGCGAACGCCATCGCCCGGGTTGTAGGCTTCATCGAAGAACGTTGTCATGAATGCTCCCACAGAGGGACATCCATCGTGTGGCAAGTAGCGCACTGCTTCCCAGAGAAGGACATGTAGGAACGACTCGAAATCGTCCTGCACTTCGTGGAACTTGGAAGGGTGGGCAAGCAATCGCCCAGACATAAACTGCCATGTGCCCTGAGAATGGCATAGCTTAGTGACCCCTACAACCAGCAGATCAAAAAAAAATCGGGTACACACAGTCCGACCACACTGCCCAGCAGGCTTTATCTCGGTATCCTTAGCCAGGTCCCAATCATTCAGGAGACCGCTAGCACGGACAACTCTGTCTTCCGTTTTCCGAACGATGAGAATATTGCCGGCACTGATATCTTGGTGCAGGATATGCGCATCATTGAAGGCAACGTAGTGCGCTAAATGAGTTCAGTGAATCAATCTTCCTGAAGCGGAGGTAACGTAGCACACTTACCACAGATACTTTCATATATCACCAGCACCAACTCCCTCGAGTTACGGAAGTCGTCAAGGGGGCAACCGATCTCCTCCACTACGAGGCGATAGTGCGCGTGTGCCTTCATCTTACTCTCTTCTCCGTCCGACTCTTTGTCCCAGTATCCAGGAGTTAATGTGGTCTGGCCTCCGACATCACCGTGGCAGACCAACGTCGGTACGAATGGGACCTCAGCACCATTCAGCTTCAGCAAGGTATCCCCCTCCTTCGGCAGCGTTGGCACTCGCCAGCAGTCCTTTAAGAACACTAGCCTTTCGCCGGTGACATCCCAGGCGATGTAGCCTCGCGTTGCCCGGCCAGCCAAACCATGAGGATCAGTGCGAGGCTTGCCGACTAGGAAATAACGAGGCTCTGTCTTTACGGCAGCCGCCCCGTCGAGAGTCGACCGAGGTGCGATGGTGGAAGACACTCCAGTGTGAGAGGCCTTGGAGGGAGGTGGCTGTACTTCGGCGTCCACGCGCAGCTTGTACCATGGCCAGTTCCCGTCGGTATCCTCCTTCAAATAGTCGAGCTTGTACTGCTCTTCCTTGGCATCCCGAGCAGCAAGCATAAGGTTGTATTCGGCGGAATCTTTCACGATCTCCTCGGCAGTCTCGTCGTATCCCTGCTGCTGACGACTGGAGTTCACGAACCTCCAGAGGAACTCGGAGATCTGCTGGGGACATTGTGCGTAATGGATTCTCTCGGAGAATACTGCTCCGGAGCGATCCCACCGAATGAAGCGCGCCCATGCGCCCAGAATAAGGAGAGTAAAGACATGAGTGCGGTGCTGCTGAGCAAACATCTGCGAGGGGTAGCCTGCGATCTGAGCCCGTACATCCTGGCGCAGCTGGGATACTGCTTCAGACCGCTTACCGGGGCCATCGTCAAAAGGGTCCATTGTGTTTGTATTAGCATGTGACTTGAAATCGGCGTAGAGAATCACGCGGTCCCATCGCTGTCGAGGTAGAGAGCGATTGTCCTCAGGAGACGGGACATGGCCGGAAAGATATAAGCCCATCTCAACCAGCTGAGACCCGTCGTTTTCGTCCATGGTACTTGCGGTGCTAACCCACTGGCATTTATAATCGGGCGGCAGAATTTTCTCACAGCATGCACGCTAGAGTACCAAGGCAGGTCAACACGTTGAGAATGCAAAAAGTCGTGGAAGGCTTACAAACTCATCGTACATCTGTTTCTCTGTTTTATGGTTCTCCATCTTAGCGAACGCGCTCTTACGGCTTGGCTGTGCTTCGAGGGTCGATTTAGGAAGAGGCAGAAATGTCTTGAGAAAGACGTTGGCCGGCAGGGGTCCAGCATACTTTCCTCTCATGCCGTAGAAGCCGTGTTTCACCTTTATTGTGGCGTCTGGGGGCCTGAAAGCGAGTAATCGCTGGGTGAGGAGCCCGCTTTAGAAGAGACGAGGTGGCAGGAAATACTGAAGTCACATGGGAACGTGAGTCACCTTATATATATGTTCGTGATGTGGCTTGATGGGTGCTTCCACATCAACCAATGTAGAAGCGCTTTTGTTCTGCCACGTTTCTCCTCGTGATGATAAGCTGATGCGTGACACGTCCGTCGCGCCATTTATCAGCGGCTCTCCTGGCGCTCGTCAGAGAAACGAAGGGAAGTGTTGACCATGCATGGACACTGGCTGTTGCTAGGGAAGGACGCGGCGAGCTCATCGTCCAAGTTCAGTATCTTCCGTGAATTCGATTTCGTGTTGGATAGTGTTGCTCTTATTGACGCGTCCAGGTAATCTGTCGTGTTTGCTTCAAAATCCAGGCCGACAGAGCGAACTATGCATGTGTATGCCATACACTTCCGGGGTTTATATCCAATACAGATGCCCTCCAGGTCACGAACCCAACCCAGCAAATAGGAATCGAAATTCCGGCTGCCAGTGCATCACCTCTGTTTGAGATGACTATTACGAGTCCTGAGTTTACGAAGGGTCGAGTCCTTACCCGCAAAATTGGGTGCGTGCCGAACGTTGTACCCCGTGGGAATCGCGATGCTGAGAATGCGTGCGACTTTTTGGTTGTAGTCTTGACTACACTGTTTAATGTCCGCTTTAATGTCCGCTTGTATTAAGCGCATTTCCGTAGTTGAGTGATGTCATAGTTGCCCACTTGCTCATTAGTCTAGGACGTGCAGCAGTTGAAGCATGTCAACTTGGTGGGATGTGCTTCCTGTTAATCCAATCATTACTGGTACATACACATTGATCTTAGGTCGGTTATAAGAGGTTGTTGAATGTTGCACTTGTGTTCTGAAATAATACACTGACTGCTGAATAGTTTGATGGATTGTTACTGTGGGAATTAGTCTCAAATTGATTGTTTTTCACACACATAGTCTGAGTTGATGTGTGGGTGGCAGAGACTATGATACAAGTCTCTTTGGTTGCAGGCATCTTGGGCCTGTGCTTTTCAATCTCTGCTGCCTCTGGAACCCTGATTTCTTCTGCTCAGTGGTCTCTATATGTCCCCTTGAGAAACTGAAACTAGTACATGTGTAATATATATTTTGTTTCTGCTCCCAGCTGCTTGGGGTACTCTTTGAGTATCCTTTCCGATGATTGTCCTTCAGCTTGGTTCAGGAAAAATGAGTGCGAGGGAGCTGCCAATCGAAGATTGGCAGTGGATGAGCACTCTGGTTCTGGTAGGATGTTACCTGGAGTCTGCAGGTATTATTGACTGTCTCTTCCACTGGGGACAAATGACCTGTGTGACAGAGCTGCCAATCTTTGATTGGCAGCAGAGGAGCACTCTGATCTATGTTACTTGTGTCTAGTAGTGCAGCTGCTACTATCCCCTGGGCTGGGTACAAATA